CCCCCCTCGGATCCCCACTAACCCCCCTCCGATCCCCACATAATCCCCCTACGGAACCCCCTACGATCCCCACGTAACCCCCCTACGATCCCCACGTAAACCCTCTACCTACCCCCCTCCGATCCCCACGTAACCCCCCTCTGATCCCCACATAACCCCCCTACTTACCCCCCTCCGATCCCCACATAACCCCCCTTGTGGGGAGCCACTGGATGTGCTGGGGTCCCCCCGAGCCCGCTGGCCCTGCCAGCCTGGGTTCCCTGGCACTGGGCTGCTGTGTCAGGCCCTCAACCCCCTTCCCAGCACACACCAGGCCAGGCCACGCCAGACCCAGCTGCAGACACAGACTGAAACCGGCTCTGTGTAGGCGGATTCAGGGGCTGCCGGGGTCTTGTTCTGGCCGGGGAGGAAGGGGGGGCAGGGGAAAGGCTGTTTGGGGCGGCTCTGGGGCCAGAAGGGCTGGATCTAGCCCACCTACAAGGCCCTAGTGGGGGCAGGAGCGGGGCCGGGGCCTCGGGGAAGGGGGCGGGCGCAAGGATGTTCGGTTTTGTGCAGTTAGAAAGTTGGCAGCCCTACGGGGCCCCCACCCTGAGCTGGGGGGTGTTTTAAACGTTGCCAAGCCGCTTACAGCGAGCGGGTTTGGGGCTGTGTTTGTTTAATGCTGGGCACGTGTTCGGTTTGTTAGTGATTCAGCTGCAGCCGGCGCACTGCGATCTGCCTGGCCTGGCTCGGCCTTTGCCTTTCACTTTCGGTTTGGGATTTAGTTCACTGTCTGGCTGGGAGCTGGAGGGGGAGTTGGTGGGGGGGGGGTCTGCACAGCACCCGACATGATGGGGGCCCCGACCCTGATCTGGGGGGGGTGTCTGCGCAGACCCCGGCATGATGGGGGCCCCGACCCCTAATCGGGGGGGCGGGTCTGCTCAGCACCTGGTGTGCCGGAGGCCCCGATCTCGGCGGTCACTGTGAAGTGCTGCTGTAACAGATAATAATAAAGAGCCGTGTCGGTAACAGCGTTTGGGCTCAGGATTTAACTCCCACACGGCCTTGGCAGCTGTTAAAACACAAGTCAGCAGAAATCAGCTTCCCTCCTAAACTCGCCACATGTCCTGCTTCTGCTTTCACTGGAGATCGGACGTTTCTACCCCAGGCTTTGGCGGATGGCCTGGTGCTGCCCGTTCTCCAACGTGGCTTTCCTCATTCCCCTCTAGGTTTGGCTTTGGGGCAGGTCTGTGGACACGGGGACGCAGGCTCTGGACCAGGCGTTGAGGTGAGGGATTTGCAGCCTGGGAACGTCTCAGGTGGGACAGAAGCGAAGGCGTTTGATTAATTCCTGAGTGACTCGTTTACAGACCTCGGTGCTCCAAAGAACTTTGCAGAATCGTCCCTTCCACGCCAGCAAAGGCGAATCGGCCGAGCCTGAGCTGGAGGGAGGGAGGGAGAGGGACCATCCAAAGGACGTGCTGGGTTTAGACGGGCCCGAGACATAGAGCAGGGGATGAAATTCAATTCACAAACGGGAATTTCGCAAAGATCTGCAGGAGCCCTGAGCGCCGTGTCTAGCACGCCGAACGCAGTCCCGTCTGTCTGTCTCCAGCCGGCTGTCGTCTCTCCTCGCGCTGAGACTGTACGGTTCTCGGGGCAGGGACGTCTTGTGCAGCCCCTGGCACGACAAGGCCCTGATCCCGGCTGGGGGTCCTGGGGCGCCACGGTGAGGCAAAGAACAAATAATAAAAATAGCAGCAAGCCGGGTGTGTGGGTGAGCGGTGTGGATGTAATGCACCACCACCCCCTGGGGACCGGGGTGCAGCTGCTGGAAAACAAAACAAACAGGGCTTCTCCGTCTTCTCCTTTATCTATTACCGTTCTCTCGCTAGCAGCGGAGTTCGGGCTGGGCCCGGGGCCTGGTCAGAACTGGGCAACGGTTTTTTGTAGCGGCTTCTTGACCAAAATGACAATTTTTCACCAAATTTAAATATTCCAGTTTATCATTTTAAAAATGGTCAAACTTCCTGTTTTCAATAAAAAAACTTTGATTTCTGAGAACAGAAGAAACTCCCGAAGCAGGGCAGGTTCCCGCTGTGGGATGAAAAGCCAGGAAAGGTTTGCAGGAAATTTTTTAAAAATTAATTCCCTGTGAGAAGTGTGCGGCATTTTCTGTCCCTCTCTGATGTGGGGTGCGCGGCCGGCCAGGGGAACCGGGGCAGCTCCTGGCTCTGACACCCCTGGGCCCCTGAACCAACCCCACCTGGGCAGGTTTCTAGGTGGGGCGGGGCGCCGCCAGAACCGACGCCACCACCCGATGGGCCAAGCTCAGAGCCCCTAGGAACCGGGTGCCCGGCCAGCGCTGAGCCATCACCCACCTCCGGGCCGGGCCTGAACCGAGCCAGACCCCAGAGCAGAGAGAAACTCGCTGGGCCAAGAGACCCCATAGGGAGCTGGACAGCGACCTCCAGCCTGAAACATACGGGTGACGGGGGGGAGCTGTCGTACCCACCAGTAATGGGGGGCGGGTCCCCCAGCTCCCAGCCTGGGGCTCCCCACCCTTCCCCCAGAGGGATCCCCCGATCTCCTATCCCCCCAGCCCCAGGGGTCCCGGACCTTCCCGCTGGGATCCCCCCAGCGCACCCCCCCCTTGCTCCGCTCCCCCGCCCCCCCCCCCGGCGGGTCCGCCCCCGGGTCCCTGCCCGGGTCTCTGCGCGCTGGGGCGGTGGGTCCCGCTCAGCCCCGCATCCTGCCCTTATCTCGCCCTCTCAGCCAGGCCCGCCCCTACCCCGCCCGCTGCAGAAGCGAAAGTAACGGGGCTGGGATCGCACCGCACCGCACCGCCCCGCCCCGCACGATGCCCCTCGCCGTGGCGCCCGGCCTCCTCCTGCTGCTGCTGCTGGCGAGCGGGGCCCGTGAGTAGCCGCCGGGGCCGCCCCCTGCTCCCCGGCCCCAGACCCTGCCCCAGGGGGGCGGCGTGGGCCGGAAACCCGGCCCCGGGGCCAGGCAGGGAATGGTGCGGGGCCAGCCCGGGCTGGGCGCAGGGTCCCGCCGGGGCTGGGGGGGGTCTCCGAGCCGGAGCGGCTTGTGGGTGAAAGTGGGGAGCTGGGAGCCAGGACTCCTGGGTTCTCTCCCCGGCTCTGGGAGGACAGTGGGGTCTAGTGGTTAGAGCAGGGGGGCTGGGAGCCAGGACTCCTGGGTTCTCTCTCTGGCTCTGGGAGGGGAGTGGGAGCTGGTGGGTTAGAGCAGGGGGGGCT